TCGGGATGGCCTCGCTAACGAGTGCCTCAGTAAGGATTTGTAAATCCTTACAAAACGGCTGGTTGTGTAGGTGATGTTAAGGTGCACGGTAAGGAAATGCACGGTAAGAAACCATGGTTGGAGCAAAACATATAAGAAACCAAATAACGAGTTTTATACAATAATTTTCGGAAACCCCATAACCATATTGTCCTGGGTGTGACCGACGCCGCGGGAATTTGGGGACGAGGCGTGGGCCGGGGTGACGTCATTGGAGTGGGTAGCATTTTTCAGTGTGGAGGCGGTTGGTGGGAGTATAGTGCGCCGGATCCCACAGCGGGCCTGGTCGGGGGTCTTAGACGCGCTCTGTTGCATCTTAAAGCGTTTGAAGAGCCGACCGGGGGATGAAGCCGCTACCCTCCTGCTCTTGGCGTTTCCGCGCCTCATCCTAGCCGTGCCTCCCAAGCCAGGCACAGGTCAGAAGGCGCTGATCATAGAGCGACTGGGAGGGGGGGTGGCGGGAGCCGTTCGACTCGGCCATGGTGGCGGCGCGGCCAGCAGTTCGCCCACTTGCCTACACCCAGGACACGGATGCCATCCGCCTGTCACGGTGCCGAGCTCGGTGTAAAGTGGGAGAGTGGAGCCTCGGATTGGCTTGCCTTACAGCAGGAGAGTTGGCTCGACCGTCTGAGGCCATGGTGCAGTCGCTGCGAGAGAAGGACCCTGCTAGCACTAGTGAGGTACCACAGTGGGTCCGTGATTTTACCGTCGATGCTCCTCAGCGGCCTCCATTCACGACCGACATCCTGGCCAGAGCTATCCACACAGCCGCTCGCGCTTCAGCAGCAGGGCCATCGGGGTGGGTCACAGAGCATCTGCGCGACACCTTCCTCACTGAACCTTCCTGCCTCTCCCACCTGTTGGAAGTGTTCAACCAATGGGTGGCGGGACAGGTCCCTGAGCGGGCTCGGCCCTGGCTCGCTGCATCCAACCTAGGCTTTCCAAGCTTAACGGCGACATCCGGCCAGTGGCGATTGGTGAGGTGCTTCCGCGTATCCTCGTTAGAGCTCTCTGCATCTCGCTCCGACCTACAATGGCTTCCTACTTTCTGCCGTGCAACCAGCTGGGAGCGGGCACGAGGGCCGGGGTGGAGACTCTTACCCATTCATTCCGGTCAGCGCTGGCAACTTACCCCGACTGGTGTGCGCTGTAGATAGACGTCGCAAACGCCTTCAACTCTTTTCACCGTCATGCGATGTTTGAGGGGTTGCGGGAGTCGCCTTTCTCGGGGTTGATCCCATTTTTACGTGTTTTCTACGGGACACCTAGCGACCTGTACCTCCGAGCGGGTCCCTTCGTACAGAGCCTTGAGTCGGCACGACGATCGCGGCAAGGGGACCCGCTCGGCCCTTGTCTTTTCGCGTTCACGCAGCAGCAAGTGATGGAGTCGGTGACTAGAGAGTTCAGGGATCTACTGTTCTTGAGTTATGCAGACGATACTTGTATTCTGGGACTAGCGGCTTAGGATTCTAGAGGCTTTTGGGGTGCTGCGGGAGCGGTTGGAGTGGGTGGGGCTGAAGGTGCTGTCAAACTATACATGTGTTAGTTCTGTGTAGGCTATAGTGGGGTAGCCCATATGGGGTACAACCCGAAGTTAGGGTTAGTACTTGTACCCACATTTAATTCAATGCAATCATTCCTGCTTGTTATCTTGACATGGTACCAGAGCTGGAGGTGTCATTTCTGGGGGTGCTGCTGCTGGAGGCCCTGGCGCTGGTCCTGTCGACCCTGGAGTTGGGGACTGTGAGGCTGGAGGTGCCGGTTCTGGGGGTGCTGCTACTGGTGGCGCTGGAGCTGGAGGTTCTGGAGCTGCTGGAGGCGCTGGAGCTGGAGGAACTGCTGCTGGAGTCCTTGGAGCTGGAGGTACTGCTGCTAGAGTCCTAGGAGCTCGAGGTATTGCTGCTGGAGGCGCTGGAGCTGGAGGTTCTGCTACTGGAAATGCTGGAGCTGGAGGTTCTGGAGCTGCTGGAGGCGTTGGAGCTGCTGGAGGCGCTGGAGCTGGAGGTGCTGCTGCTGGAGTCACTGGAGCTGGAGGTGCTGCTGCTGGAGGCAATGGAGCTGGAGGATCTGGAGATGCTGGAGGCGCTGGAGCTACTGGTACGGGTGGACCTGCACCGTCGCGACTGTTTTTCGCTTAGTCGTCACCGTCATCTCTGCCACCGCCTGACTCCGTGCTTCGCCAGGTTCTTAGCCTCCCGTTACAGCCCGACACACCACTGCCTGCTCCTTCTCCTTACACTGAGCAGACAGACTTGCTTATAGAGCGTCGTGAGCCTGCGTCTCGTCCTGCCTCGCCAGTTCGCGCTGGTCGCACTGGTCGTCGTGTTCCTTGTGAGCGTCCGCCTCCTGTCCTTGGCACGCACGCTATGGCACTTCATCCTTCCTCTGTCCCACAGTGTGTTCCCCTACCGTCTCCTCCTGCGTCTTCTGTGCCTGACGTTGAGGACCCTGATTCTGACCTGGTTCGTGCTGCTCACCCTACTGTCGCGCGTCTGCTAGCCACGATTGTCACTGACCCGTCGTTTGAGTCTGCCGCTTCATCTGCCTTAGTCTCTAAGCTTGTTAACTTTGCTGCTGCCTGTCGTCTCGACTTCGCTGCTAGTCTTGTTGCTGAGTCTGAGTCTGTCTGTCCTCCGTCCGTCGGGGGTGAGTGTGCTCTTGGCATGGACGTCCTTGAGGACAGGCAGGAGGACTTTGAGTGTCTTGCAGCCGCTGCGCCTCATCTCGTGGCCATGATGCTTGCCCCTGAGAGAGACCTGGATGCCCTAGACAACCCGACATCGCGCTCTTACGCTGAGGCGATCGCGGGTGAGTACTCCTCTTAGTGGCAAACATCCATCGACGCATAGATGACACCTTGGAAATCCACAGGCACCTACGTCGATGAGGTTCCCCCTCCTGGGGCGAACATCGTCAATGGCATGTAGACTTTCAGGGTGAAACGGCCGCCGTGTTCTCCGCCTGTCTTCAAGGCTCGTTATATTGCACGAGGCTTCAGTCAACGACAGGGAGTTGACTTCTTCCAGACCTTCTCCCCCACCCCAAAGATGACCACTCTTTGGGTGTTGCTGCACGTTGCCGCTCAGCGTGACTACGAGCTTCACTCTCTAGACTTCAGCACATCGTTCTTACAGGGTAGTCTGCACGAGGAGATCTGGCTGCGCCGCCCACCTGGCTTCACTGGGTCGTTTCCTGTAGGTACCCAGTGGAGCCTCCATCGGCCAGTCTACGATCTCCGTCAGGCGCCTCGTGAGTGGCACGACACACTGAGGACGACACTTGCGGCTCTTGGGTTTGCTCCTTCCACTGCTAACCCGTTGCTCTTTCTGCGCACCAACACTTCGCTGCCGCCGTTCTACATCCTCGTGTACGTTGACGACTTGGTCTTTGCCACTACTGAGACTGAGGCTCTCGCCCTGGTGAAGTCGGAGCTGCAGAGGAGACACACGTGCACAGACCTGGGTGAGCTGCGCAGTTACCTTGGCTTGCAGATCACCCGGGACAGAGCACGCCGCACCATCACACTGACTCAGTCATGCATGGTGCATCAGGTCCTTCAGCGCTTCGGCTTCACCTGGTCCTTGGCAAATGCCACTCCTTTGGCTACAGGTCACTTGCTCTCAGCTCCACCTTCGGACGAGTCCTTAGAGCCGAGTGGTCCTTACCCAGAGCTAGTGGGCTGCCTCATGTACCTGATGACCTGCACTTGTCCTGACCTTGCGTACCATGTTGGCCTTCTGGCTCGCTATGTGGCTCCTAGTCGGCACCGAAAGGTGCACATGGATGCTGCTAAGAGGGGACTACGCTACTTGTACAGTACATCGGGCATGGGGCTCGTGCTTGGAGGACGGGGCGACGTTGTCCTCAGTGGGCACTCGGACGCTTCTTGGGTTGACGACCTGGCTACGTAGCGGTTGTCACAGGGTTACACCTTATGTCTTGGCTCTGGCTCTTTTTCTTGGTGGTCTACACGCTCGTCTTCTGTTCTCAGCTCCAGTTGTGAGGCTGAGATCTACGCCACAGCCATGGCTGCACAGGAGTTACGCTGGCTCACCTACCTGCTGACCGTCTTGGGAGAGAGGCCTCGTTCTCCTCCAGTTCTGTACGTCGACAACAAGGCTGCCATTGCCTTGTATCATGACCACAGACTAGAGCACAAAACGAAGCACATTACTCTGCGTTACTTCCTTGCTCGAGAGTTGCAGCAGCGTGGTCAGCTTCGTGTCGCTCACGTGCCCACCCGGGCCAACACTGCTGATGTGTTCACCAAGGCCCTTTCGGCTGGTGATCATCAGCGCTTCTGCACTGCTCTAGGCGTGATGCCTACGCTTCCTCACTTGCTGTAGACTCTGGTTGTACTGTGATCTATATATGTATACCTGCATGTTTACTCTTGCTAGGTAGTGACCACTGTACTGTTGATGTTGCGTATATACCTCTGCATGTGAACAGGCCTTGTGGCCCCTTTGCTTGTGCTCGAGAGTGTGGTGACGTTGTGATCCACCCCGAGCTTGCTTTGCTTTGCTTTTCTTGACTGGTCTTGTAACCCCTTATTCTCCCCCACTTTGCCTATGGGGGTGTGTCAAACTATATATGTGTTAGTTATGTGTAGGCTATTGGGGTAGCCCATATGGGGTACAACCCAAAGTTAGGGTTAGTACTTGTACCCACATTTCATTCAATGCAATCATTCCTACTTGTTATCTTGACAGGTGCAGGCGCACAAGTGCCGGTGTTGGGAGCGCGAGAGCGGGGATGTGGAGCGGGCACTGCCATTGGGGATGCCGCGGGAGGAGGAGGGTCTCACTGTGGTGGGCGTGCCTATTGGGGAGGAGGATTGGGAGGTGGTTCGGTTACGGAAGCGGCTTTGAGAGTTGCAGGCGCCACTGCCATGGCTCCCCCTGCTCGACCACCCCCAGATGGCGTCACATCTCCTCGCCATTGAAGTCTCTACACAGCCGATGTACCTGGCCCGGACTATGGCGCCGCGTCCGCAGGTGGTGGAGGCCTTTAGAGATTGGGATAGCTGTCTGGAAGATTGCTTCAAGCAGCTTTTCCCACCTTGCACTTGGGAGCAGGACCCCGTCCGATCAGGGCGAGCACGCATGCAGCTGCATCTCCCTGTGCGACCCGGGGGGTTTGGGATCCGGATGGCGGCCTCTTTGAGCCCGCTCTCCTATGTTTGTGGCTGGGCGCAGGCAGCGCGGGATGTTGCACAGTTGGGGGTGGCGGGCGAGGAGGTGATGTTTGCAGAGTACCTCACCACATCGGCGGGGGTGAAGTTTCTTGACCCGTGGTTTGCCAAGGCTGTTGAGCAGCTGCCTGCGACTATACGCCAGGAGATGCCGGACTTACCTCTGTGTGTAGCGACCCCTCCCCTTCGGCTTTCCCAGGCGCGGCAGCGACAGTTGGCTGTTGAGGAGCTCCATGCACTGCGCCGCTCGGCTCGTGCCGATTCCACCCTGGCCCGATTCACATCCCTTCAGGGCCCGGGGGCTGGTGCATGGGTTTCGGCGGTTCCGGCTCACTCATATCTCACATTAACTGCGGCTGAGTGGGGCATTGCTACTGCAATATGGTTCGGGCTCCCAATTCAGCAACTGAAGGTGGCGGGGAGGTGTGTGTGTGGCACAGCGTATGTTGACCCAACAGACCCGCATCATGCCCTGAGATGCAAGCACCAGCACGGTCCATCTCGGGTGCATGATGAGGTGAAGTTTGCGATGGCGAGGATTTCTGAGGCGTCAGAGGGGGTGGTGATGACGGAGGATAGTGCGGTGCTGCCGGGGAAGCGAGTTGACGTAGCGGTGCGACGACCGATGGCCGGGGAGGCTGACGCTCTGGAGATCAGCGTCGCAGACCTTGTATCGCTGTCTCCATCCTTGCTAGGACAGTGCGGGCGTTCCATAGGTGTGGCGGCAAGGGAGTGGGAGCATCGCAAAGCGAGTGATTACGCGCCTTTGCTTGCACGCAACCGGGGCGTGCAATTTACCCCTTTTATAGTAGAGATGTGGGGGTGTCTCGACGGACGCTTCCGGCGGTGGCTTCGACAGCAGGGGGATGCGCACATGGGGCTAGCTGTGTCACGGGGGGGCGTGTCGGAGGATGACACTTCGTTTTCGACTTACCTTTTGGGGTCTCTGAAGGCGCTCATCGGGGTGGCGTTGCAACAGGCGCAAGCTCGTGTGATCCTGCTTCGGGCGGCGTCTTCCATGGGGGGGATGAATGTGGATTTGGTGGACCGGGAAAAGGACGATCGAGGTGGAGGGCGGGGCTCTTAGGATGGAGGCCCCGTACATGGTGGATGCGTGGATGTGACTGGGAGGGGGGGGGTGGGGGGGATGGGGTGCGGGATGGGGTGTCTCGATGGGGTGTCCTGACTGGGTGTTGCGATGGGGTATGTTGATGGGGCTTTTTATGCGGGTTGCGTTTGGAGTTTTGTTGGCAGTTTCCTTTTTTTCTCCCTTTCATTCTCCACCTCCTCCCTTCTCCGTCACTTATGTCTCTCTTTCCCCTTTTCCTCACGTTTGATTTTCCCTGATAAAAGAAATGGGTGTGCTCGAGAGTCCAGTCCAGTGACGTACCCTTTATAAGAGAACATAAGAGCGTTTAATGATCTTACCATATTGTCCTGATATCTATATGCCTATTAGACAAATAGAGCCTGAGTTTTATCCCATTGTATGTTGCACTTGCACCTACAAAATCTTGGTGTACATCTTTTTTCACATCATTTTCGTCAAATGATCCACCATTCGCGCCGTTATCACGGGAGAATTGTGATCCTGTCAGTCACACTCTCCTTCGTTGCAACATTCCTGATTTCTTGGACCATGGAATGGCGGCTCGAGATCTTCAATGTGCGTGGCAGATATGCGTTACTTATGGTCGTTTCATTCCTCGAAATCAGCAGTTCATTCTTGGTCTGTCCTGCCATGTCAGGGACACACGCAGAAGAGGTTGGTGAGGTGTACACTTGTTTTGGTTCAGATGACTCAACTTGCCAACAACTTTTTACGCAATCTCGCGTCGCGTCGCCTGGTGTCTCGAAGGAGAATGAATGGCCGTGGGTGAACCCATCCTCCAGTCGTGTGATTGGCTGGCCGAAGCTTCTTCGTTCTTCCTCGCCAGCATGTACTTCCTTTTGCGGCGCGCAGTGGCAGCGTAACTCTCAGCTAGTCTTGAATATTTTGAGTGTATAGAAGTTGTAGTTTCACGGAGCTGGAGTCCATATGTCTACAGTTCTCTCATTGCGCAAAAAACGAAGACTGGATTTAGAGTTTAAAATTACTCGACATAAAACCTTGAAACCAGGCCCAGGTACACAGGGCACGTAAGTGCCGCATTTAGCAACGTTTCGAGGGGAAGAGCTCGAGTTGGGTTCGGATTGGTTCGTTCGCACCAGCACCACGAGCATATATGTGAGTGGTAAGGAATAGAGGGGTCAAATGGGCTCCCTCCATTATCACTTACTCACTGTCGGGAAGGCACGTAGCACCGTCACTTGCTCACGCCTCAACCAATCAGAAAAGGCCAAAACGTCATTGTAACCCGCAAATAGGCTGGGGTGCCTAGACAAGATTTTCTGATGCCACCGCCGGGTCTGCCTTTTCCCACCACACCTACCCTGTTGGACCTGCCAGTCCACCTCACAGAGCTAGAATAGCGGCAGTCGCTGGGGAGATGGTGAACCCGTTTTGTGCCTTCGTCACACCGAAGGGTTGAAAACATTTTCCCCTCCCAACAAATGGGCTTAGTTATTTGGCCGAGACGTCTCATTCGATGTTCTTGCTCGTTAACGCTTACCCGTTTCATCTTGACATGTCACTGTACGAACGTTGAACAAAGGGAACAGCACACACATACTTGCCCAAATCGAAATTTCGCGAATACCGGAGACGGCGTCAGCCAATCCAAACGCAGGAGTCCTTCCCGCAATGCTAAAGGAAACGAAGCTCAAAATTATTGCTGGTCAGCTCAGTAAACCAAACTTCCCGAACAACCTAGCACCAACCAATCAAGCTGGCGCGCCTCTTGCATGGCGGCACTTTCGTTTGTTCCCATTCGCCAATTCGCCTACATTTGACACGATAGCGACTCCGAGTCTGACGCAGCTTTCAACTTCGCGTGCTCGGGTCGGGTATTAGGACGCGGTCGCATTTAGAAAACCAAGGAACGATCGGGGATGTTCACCGATCCTGCCCAATCGATCGCCACATCGGTGGGCCACGCCTGATTTTTTTGCAATCGCGGGCCCACCGCAATCCCCAAGTGACACGCTCGGAAAATTATGGGGCAAATTTTCCCGATGTGGACGAAATTGCACGATCGATGTGTGACAAGGGCACATCGATCGCCTGACTCCGAGGGGACAACAGTAGATCAGCGACGAATGTCGAAGACAGGTAACCAGCACGTAACGACGTCGTGAATGCGAAACACCGAACTGGTGCAGGCTCGGATTTTCACTTGTGACGCGTCCTTGCTGAATGGTGTTTTGTTGGTGCTTGCTTCCTTCGAAGTCTCTCCTCCCCCCCTCTCTTCCCCTCCCAAACTACCCCTCCCACCCCACCCTATCCATGTCAAATTTGGCATGCGCCCTCGCCTCGCCAGCCATCACTCGCACTCACTTTCCCCCTTCTCTCCCCCACACACCCATCCGCCCTCATCCTTCCAGCGCACGGCTCCGCGTGCTTGTCTGTGTTGATAAAGCCCCTCGCTCAGCCTGCTGTTGCTGCTGCTTCATCATCTGGCTTGCTCGTTGCCGTGGCACCACATCATCCTCCTCTCACGCCCTCGTCACGAGAAACCCATCAAGAACGAAAAAGCTCGCAAAGTAGCTTCTGCTGATCTCTCACCTCTGTCGTCATCGCGTCGCTTCGTACACTCTTTGTGAAAGCGCTTCAAAGCAGCAGTACATCATCCAGCCTGTGCGCGCCATTTGTTTTTTTGCGCGAACGGTTCTCTACAGCAGCAAAAACTGTCTCGCGATACGCCGTCGTTTTCTGAAAGTACTGCGAGCGCGGTGTCGCCTCGCTAGGCATCCTCTATTTCCAGTGAGGCTTCGTCACAAAAGATTTTCACCATGTCGGCTACTTCCGTGCACTCGCCGCTAAGTAGCGGGACGTACACGCTATCAGCAGACTCGTTAATAGCTGGAACTCTCTCCGTAGCCGCGGTTCTTCTGCCAATCCAGTTCGACAGGATGTTCTGCCTCGTCGTGCTCGCAGCGCTCCTGCTGCTGTCGCTAGCGTTTCTCAGACGGTCCTCGAGTCGCCATAACGAGCTCTCGCTCGAGTGGGAAACCGGCCGGCGAAAAGCGAGGCAGCCGTTTAAGCGGTCTCCGGAATTTTACGTGAGTTTTTCACCCTTTGCCATGCTTTTCCGCCAGTTTATCTCCCTCTCTTCACTGGCGGTGTTCGTTTTGGCGCTTGTGCAAGGAACACGGTGACGTCCTTTTCCGCTCCATCGTGCTTGATGCTCTTATTTTGTTTTACGCTTCCTCGCTTTAGTGCCGTCCTCCCATTTCTTGTCCGTCAGTCGCGAAGACAGTATAGGAGTGACAGGGCGCGAGTCGAGACAAATAGCTGTCTGGCCTTGTCCGCTCACGACTTGCACTGGGTCGGTCTCTCACGCTTTTTACTTCTCAAGGTCATTGAGTATTTCGCTCGATTTTTGCTCGAACTCCTGTTGCCAGAAAAAAAAAGGGTGTTGAGTCGTAGCAGTATTCGTACTGTTGTATTTTTTTATTTTCTTTCTGGGTGACACGGTATTCAGCCGTTTTATATCGTTTTGTCCCTTCTGCCGCCCTTTTCCACCTCGCAGGAATACTACGGTGTGACGTCATCAGAGGACTATTTCATCAACTCGCGAGGCGTCGAGCTCTTCACGAAGCAATGGCTTCCCATCGACGGTCGTCTGCGTGGCGTTGTCTTTTACTGCCACGGCTACGGCGACACCTGCTCGTACGCGTTTGAGGACGTCGCGATACGGTTGGCTGCGTCCGGTTACGCGGTAGAATCTTTGGATTACGAAGGTTTTGGCCTGTCTGCGGGGCTGCACGGGTTTATTCCGCGATTCGACAACCTCGTGGATGACGTCACGGAATTCACTGCTTCGCTGAGAGGTGCGTGAGCTTAGCGCATGCGAAGCAAATTCACGCGAAATGGGAGCCAACTTGAACGTTGAGAGTTTAAAGAAGGAAAAGACTTGGAATTATCAATTTTTGGGTGCTTTAATATCCCAATTGCTGCTCATCTCGCCTCTGTTCCTCATCTCTCCTGCCTTTCCACTCCTTCATTCTCTCCCTCTCTCCTCTTATCACAGCTCGGCCATCCCTCGCGCACCTCCCGTTCTTTCTCTACGGCGAGTCCATGGGCGGAGCAGTGGCGCTCCTCACGCATCTGCGCCAGCCGTCCTCGTGGCAGGGCGCAATCCTCGCAGCTCCCATGTGCAAGATCGCACCAGAGATGATGCCTCCTAAACCCGTCGTCACCACCTTATCCCTCCTCGCGAGCATCTTCCCGCGAGCAAAGCTGGTCCCGACCAGGGAAATTGCAGAGATCGGGTTCCGGGATCCAGTTAAAAGGACGAGACTGTGCGAGAATCCGGTGGGGTATGGCGGGAAGCCGAGGCTACAAACGGCGCTACAGATGCTGAAGGCGACGCAGCGGATTGGCCGGGATCTGGATAAGGTTTCGCTGCCGTTTCTCCTGATGCACGGTGCAGCAGATGCGGTCACGGATCCTGCAGTTAGTGAGGCGCTTTTCCAGCAGGCTTGTAGCGGGGATAAGACTTTTAGGCTGTACGAGGGATGCTGGCATGGGTTGACGACAGCAGAGCCTGATGACGTGATTGCGAGAATTCTGGACGATATGGTTTCCTGGTTACACGCCCGAAGCTTGCATCCGAGCCTCCTGCCAAGTTTCCGGCTCAATGCGTATGCTGCTGCGGCTGCGGCAGCTGCTGGGTGGTCCTCGGGTTTGGCTTCTCTTTCTGGTTCAACCACCCCTATGTCATCTGGAGCTGTCTCATTAGCGATGGGGGGAAGAGTAGATGCAGCAGCGGCAGGAGGGATGGGAGGGGATGTGTGGACCAAGGATAAGCATTTGCCATGGCATTTGCTTCCCTTTGATGCTGACGATGAGTCGTCCAGCACAATAACCAGCTGAGGCAAATTAGCCGAGGCTAATTAGCTGATTCAAGTCAGCTGCCTCGGGAGAAGGATGTCTTCAAGTCAACTTGAACGAAGATTCAAGGCTTAAAGAGCCATGGCTGGCCACTCAAGGAATATTCATTTCATTCAAGCAGCCGATTATTACAGTAGTTGCAGCTATACTCAAAGGTAAAGATCTGACATGTTATACAGTGAACTTCTTAGGATTGTTCTCCGACGCGCTTCTTGTGCTTCAGTGTGCCGATACTGTTAAGGTTTTGTATAGTTGCTCATTTCATTTTTGGAGATGATGGATAGTATAGCGTACTTTCTGGGCCCAGCACTTATGTCAACAAGATGGTGGAAGGTAAGCCACACCACAATGCCTAATGAAAGGTGGATGTTTTTTTTTTTTTTTTTGTAACGGTATTAGTCAACTTTCTGATTGTAATTCTAAACGCGTAAAGGGTACACGCGTTGACCCTTATTCACGACTTCAGAGGCTTCACAATGTGTACCTTTTGTACTCCCAGAATTGCTGAGGTGGGCAGACGACAGCTGGCAGATGTTGCGGCAAATATCACCAGTCTTTCATGGACACGTCACGGAATGACGCGAAAAGCTGGCGATGCCACCGGAGCAGAGTCTATTTGACCAAGGAGCTCTGACTAGACCAAAGCTGCTGCGATGTAGGGGACACACCAGAGCAGTTCAGCCGGCCCGGAAATATCCTTCCATACCTCCGTGGCATGTCAGAACCACAACATGTGGCTACGGAAGAGGCTCGCTGAGCAAAGAGGTTCGGAACCATGATGGACACGATCGCATTTCCCTTTCGAGAATCAGCGCGCTATGGTTCCCGCACGAATGCGAAATTCTCGAGATTGCGTGCGAATGTGCGAGGATCATCTTGGGCATGTGAAGATTGCTCGATCAGTCCCCCCAAACGCCCACCCGCATTCCCCCGTGGAGTTCCCAGAGCCACAACCCACTAGAGCAGATAGCAGATAGCAGGCAGCACAGCCACGGCTTCAGCTTGGGAACGTCATTTGTGCACTCAGTTTAGGCAGAATCCTCTCGCTATTCCGTCCTCGTAGCACTGCCTGGTCCGCTCTCCTGGTTTACGGCAGCGACTATCTACCCTTTCCGGGACCAGCCGTTTTCTCAGCACTCTCTGAGACTGTTATTCTTAAGCGGTTGGTTGATTCCAACAGTGGCCGCCATGGATGCAACCGCCATCAGTGCACGCTTTCCGGAGCTCTCCACCTCCTCCGTCATGCACGCTCGCTCGAGGGTTTCGTGTTGTTCCTTGACTTCGTCGGAGTTCGCCGGCGCACGCCTTGCCCCGTTAAGAGTGAACTCGCTTTCCTCTAACAAGCCCAGAGCAGCACCGGTCCTCGTCACCGCGAATATGAAGAGGAACCCGAAGCGACTCAAATACGCGGGAGGCTCACGGCCGGTGAGTGAGGTTTTCCTGCTCAGCTTGAACGAAATGGTAAAAATGCGGCTATTTGTTTCAGGGATTGGAGAGGAAGCTAAGAGAGGTGAGTGAGGAAGTGGTAAATGGTAGCATTGAGGAACAGAATGAATAACGGCGGAGAACGTACGGAAGTTGTCTCAGGAGCTGTCGATGCCACCTGTTACGAAATGCGAGTGCGTTCAGATGGGAAAATGCAGTTTTTGTTTTTGTTTCTTGACAGGTAAAAATGTTTTACTATGTCAGTGTAATGTAGCACAATACTTACACTTGTTGTGAAGTTATGGAACTCATAAGGGTGTGACAAACCCCCCCATTCGTGCTCATTAACAGCACATTTCTGTGTTGTCTTCGCCGGTTGCTTGGATGTCAAGCTAAAACGTGACTTCTGAGTCGACTCAAAAGTGGATAATGGCAATAAGGTGAATGTGGTGACGTGTTCCCTTTCTTTATGTCACAGCGTGTCTCCGTATTGTTTGGTTCCGCTTCCGTTGCTGATGTTAGGCCAACGAAGTGGACGTGGTGACCGTTGACCCGTCAGGCTCCGATGCTTCGTGGAAGCTCCGTGGAATAGCGGATTTGATCAAGGAAGGCGCCGTTGGGCTCATTCCGACTGACACTGTGTGAGCCCATCATCCTGCCTGTGTGGTGTGATGCGGTGGTATGTGATGAGGTGTGGTGGGACGTGGTGGGGGTGTGGTTAGGAGGGTTGTGGGAAGCATGCATTTTGTGGCTTTGAGTACGTGGGCATGGAGTGAAAACCGTACAAGAGTCATAACGAATGCAGCTGAATGACTCACTTTTCAACCCATTTGATTCAATCAAATCCTGATTGGTGCTACTTGGTTTGGGGTGACGCCAGTTGCCTTCCTCACACCGCCAACCCCTCACTCCGTGTACTTGTTTGTACCACTTGACTTGAGTCGACTCAAAAGTCACCTGTACAAGAGTCTTAAAGAATGCAGCTGAACGACACACCTTCAATCAAATCCTGATTGGTGCTTCTTGGTTCGTAGTGACGCCAGTTGCCTCCCTCACACCGCCAAGCCAACCCCTCGCTCCGTGTACTCGTACCACTTGCTGCTTCCATTCATACGTGCAGATATGCCCTGGTTTGTGACGTCAAGAACCGAGACGCCATTGACAGACTCTACCGGTACGCACTAGACTTATTGGTAGGTTCTTTTGACTCGTCAACGGTTCTTTCAATGCCCTCTGCGTGTTAGCCCACATCCTTCACGACTTGTGCTTGCCATCTTCCTCTGGCTACAAGGCCATTATTCGCTTGCTTCAGGTTTTGTTTTCCTGTCTGATGTTGAAGCCATCCTTCCTTTTCACATGTAGACCTCCAAATCTCCCGCTGTCTTAATTTCTTCTGCTTGGCTAGTACAATATTGTAGGTTGTGCATGAATTCACGTGGTCACATGCTAACTTAACTTCTTCGCATGTCGTCTTTGTTTGTTGTTTCTCGTCTCTTTTCTTCTGCAGCATCAAGCAGTTGGACCCCAAAAAGGTGATGGTTTTTTTCTACTTCTTTCCTCACCAGAAGTCGAAAGTTTCCTACTTCAGTCGTCAAACCCCATCAGTACCACCTTTTCCTTTGATTGGAATCATATGCTTCTTACAAATCCTTCCTTTCTCCCTCGCCTCTACACCTGCGTATTTCCTGATGGTTCATCACCTTGTTCTCCATTTCACCGTGTGATTTGATTCCCTTCACCCTCGTTTCCCACCCTCTTTTTCTTGCAGCCTCTGAGTATCCTCTGCCGCAATTTCCAAGACATTGACACCTACACATTGGGCTTTCCCCGTGGCAACGGTCATGGGCAGACAAACATTTTCCGGGCTGCCCGACAATGCCTACCTGGACCTGTAAGTCGTCTCCTGCATGCATGTGGCTACAGTGGCTTGTGCTTATGCGTTGGCAAAACAGTCACTTTAATTGCGTCCCATCACAATTAGTCTTTCCACCTCTCACCTTCACATCACACATTCGATTGCGAGCAATGCCATGTCGAAGCACTGCACTACTCTCTTATACCACCTTCCTCTGCTTTCCGCCCTCTCTCTTTCTCCCGCATCCCCTCTCCCTTCCCCCCATCCTGCCCCCAGTACACGTTCATTCTCAAGGCGAGCAAGGCCATGCCGTAGCAGTGCATGACTCTCTTATACCACCTTCGTTTGCTTCCCGCCCTCTCTCTCTCTCTCCCACATCTGCTCTCCCTTCCCCCCATCCTTTCTGCCAGTACACGTTCATTCTCAAGGCGAGCAAGGCCATGCCGAAGCAGTGCACGACATTCGGCGGCAGTGCAGTAGCGCACTGTGCGCCCAGGAAGAGCGTGGGGGTGAGGATGCCTCTGGACCCCATCTGCCATGCTCTGCTTGAACTCCTGGACGATCCTCTCCTCTGCACCAGGTCAGCTGCGATGGTTCACATATACTAATTTGTTTAGTAGTAGTGTGGAGCGTGGGAGCGAAAATGCCTCTGGACCCCGTCTGCCACGCGCTGCTCGAGCTGCTGGTCAATCCGCTCCTCTGCACCAGGTCAGCTGCGACGTTTCACAGCAATAACTTATCTGAGGCATGTCTAAAAGTAGGGTGCTGCACGCCTAGGATGGCTTGAGGAGGGCTCCTGTTTCCTTAGCACTGACAGTTGCTTTGACAATTGCTTGTTGCTGGAACTGGCGCCAGGCAAAGGTGGTTTAAGTCACATTTGACAGTTTCCTTACCTCTGTGTCGTCCCCCCCTTTCCCCTCCCGTGGCCCGCCGTACCCATTCTCCCTCCCTTCACTTCCACAGTGCCACCAAGAGCTCAGATGATCGCTGGCTGCTGGACCCCTCAGTGGTTGGACTCACCTACCGTTCTGAAGATGGTGCAGAGGTTAGCTTATAACAAGGACAATCTTGTCAGGTTCTTGTTCCTTCCCCCATGCTGCTACGTAACAACATGCTATCTCTGCACTCGCCCCGCCACCTCCCTGCATGTTGTGGTTCTGTGCTTGTCATTGTGGCTGCGGGCCACCAAGTGATTCCTTCCCCCTTTTTCCCCCCCAATAATATTCCCCCTCCCTCATTTGGTTGCAGGGTGTGGATTTCATTGTGGACGGAGGCGCTCGCATGCCAGAGCCATCCACAGTGGTGGATATGACAGGCGACAGGCCAGTGCTGCTGCGGCGAGGACAGGTACGCATGGTCCACATGTCACTTGGGAGTTTGTGGGTGATTCCCTCGCCACCCGTTGGCTCTCTACCCAAGTTATCTACAGTGCACCTCGTTCAATTTTGTTTTGTGCTCGTCCTAAGTTTGTAATTGTGTTCATTTTTGCAGGGTGAAGTGGAGGACTGGATGCTAATGGAGGTCCATGATTCCTCAGAAACAGCTGCTGCAGCGCTGATCAACCCCAACGGGAAAATCAATCCATATGCCGTGAAGTAGACTTGTTGATGCAGAACGTTGTAGAAATCGTCCTGGAATCGGGTTCCCCTAAGAGAGGTCACATGTCCCCCAACTTGTGCTGGCTAGTGTTATTGTTTAATAAATCTGCTGCTGTAAAATACGTGTAGGATCTCATGTGTGTACGTCTGGGAAATGGCTCAGCAGCTGCCCTGCTTACATCGGGGTATTCCACAACCAAACTTCTCAGTCGTCAGCATGACGTTTCCTTCTCTCTCACGCGAAGTGATCGAGTTGGTGTGTTTCCCGCCAATGTTGTTTCACCAGCGTGGTGAGACATCAAATTCCCGGGAACCCTACGTTACCGAACTGAATCGTATAGAAACTGCTACTAGTCTCGTGAACCGCTCTTTTGTTGTGAATGGCTGGATCTTGTCTGCTGTATTACGGTATAGCATTTCGAGAATGCGCGATTCTCAGGGAAATTCACCACTTTTCCACGTTATATGCTCATACAGTGAAGAGTGAAAAGGTCCAGACTTGAAAAAGACCTGCCGAAGCTCAGCCTTGGTATGGATCAGTATCCGAGCCTCAGCACCTGGGTTGTAGGAAGGCGGTTCCACGCGCGTGTGCCGTGCAATGCGGGAATGCGAGTGGTATTAGTGAGGGAGCGATCCAATGTGGCAGACGGAAACGCCGTTCAAGTGAGTGACTGCTAAAAGCTTTGATGATCTTGGGGAGAGTGTGACATCAGTGATCATGTGACGTCAGCGCTGGCCTGTCGTCAGCAGCATTGTGACGTCAGAAGCTAGCGGCGGTGAAATCCAGAGTGTAGCGAGCCTAGTCGCTCGGGTGTAAGAGCGGAACTTCTAGTTAACGAGAGAACAACGTGGCAGGAAAAAAAACTATCCGAGTTTGCAGACAAGTGAGCCGTGTGATGTGTTGGGAAGCATTCCGCAGATATGTCGTTTGAATAGGTCTTTAGTGTGTGAGTTTTGAGACGTCTCAAAACTCGTATGAAGCGCTGGGAAGCATCCTGCAGATCTCAACACTTTGGGCAGATCTCAGCAGATATCGTATGTAGTTTGGAGAGGTCTCAAGTTTGAACACCGCTTGGTAACAACAAGCAGTGCGAATCCTGAAAAGCAATGTGAAACCTCAGATGCAGATGCGCGATCCTTTTGCATAACAGCGCGCCACGTTAGAGAGATTGGAAGGTTGATCAATGATTCAATGCTGGTACAAACGGCTTTCCCTGTTCCTGTCATGGCAGACTCTTTTTTTTTTTTTCCCCATTCTTTTTGTTGTTTTGGACTCGCCTTCCTATCAGGTGGTGACAATACCGGATGACGGATCTGCCAATAGAGACAATCAGAGCAGCAAAGGCAAGGATGTGAATGTAGAGAGGAGCAAAACGAGATGGTGGGAGGCTGCAGGAAGAGGAGGATGGAGAGGAAGGGAGAGTCCAAGCGGAAAGGGAAAGGATGGCATTGGCGCTAAGGGGTCGCGAGGAACGGAGGGAGGAAGCGGGAGGTTGAATGCAAGAGGCAACGGTAGAGGACGGGGGAGCGTAGGCATTCTGGAGAACCAATCAACAGCGAGCCGATCAGCAACGAGCCAATCAGGAGCGGCAGGCCAATCCGTAACAGCGGGGACAGGGGAGAGGCAGCTGGCGGTGGGAGAAGAGATTGGTCATCTGTCAAGGGCAGTGGCTCAGGTTCTGGCTCCAGTCATGGATCAACATGGTGACGTGATATTCGAGGTGAGTGTTGGTAAAGGGAGGTTGGCAATGGAGGGGCAGATGGTGTTGGGAGAAGCGATTGGTCATCTGTCAAGGGCAGTGGCTCAGGTTCTGGCTCCAGTCATGGATCAACATGGTGACGTGATATTCGAGGTGAGCTTATGTGTTGATTCAGGTTTAGGGTAAGTGTGCATCAAGGATGAAAAAGTCGAACTTTCGTTTTTAGGTGTGAAGGAAAGTTCGTAAGGGCCTTTTGTGGTCTTGTTGCGCATCCTTCTCGCAGGAGCTCATTGATAAGCTTAGCAGAGCTACCTATTTATTCTCCCGCTTCCTGACTTCATTGTCCGTGTTGTTTGTTTGCTTGGCTGTTTTGCTGTTGTTTGTTGGTTGTTTCGTGTGGTTGTATTGCTGTTGTGTGTTTGCTTCATTGCTTTTGTTGTTGTTTGTTTACTTGTTTGCCGGTGTTCTTTTATTTCAGGGCGTCATCACCTCTACCCCATCCTCCCCTCTCTGCCGTGTCCTTGTCAAAATTACTCCGTTCCTCCACCACACACCTTCGCCAGACACACCCAGCCTTCCCCCTCCAGCCAGCACCTCACAATCAGCAGTCATCCACACCCCTTCACCAGTCACACCCAGCCTTCCTCCCGCAGCCATCTCGTCACAGCCAGCAGGCATCCACACACCCTTTCCAGGTTCAGCCAGCCTTCCTCCCCCAGCCATCTCCTCACAACCAGCAGGCATTCACACACCTTCCCCAGACACAGCCAGCCTTCCTCCTCCAACCGTCACCTCAGAACCAGCAGGCCCACGTGGCACCTGTGTGCCTTCCGCTTCCAGAGCCTCATTTCTCTCCACGTGGCAGTTTGTCATAGATGCCACGTCACTAGTCCAAAAGCCCGTGTGGACCGAGGAAGGGGAAGGAGAAGTGGAGATGGAAGGATGGGGAGGAGAAGGGGAGATGCGAGTGAGGAACTTCAGCGTGATGCTGAGAACTGTGTTGGAATCAGATGGGCACCTCTTTTTACCCGAGGAGAAGGAGCTGTTGGGTACGTGCGTGCAGGATAGGTGCTGGGGATGGGTGTGGATGGATGGAAAGCGGTGCTGGGAATGTGTTTGGGGGGGCAAGGGGAAAGGGAGGTGCGTGTGAGGAACTTTCAGCGGGATGCTGAGCACTGTGCTGGAATCAAATGGGCACCAAATTCTACCCGGGGAGAGGGAGCTGTTGGGTAAGTTGGTGGACGGATAAATGGATGGGTGGGTGGATGGATGGGTGGGTGGATGGATGAGTGGGTGGGTGTGTGGGTGGATGGGTGGGTGGATGGATGGGTGGGTGGATGGATGGATGGATGGATGGATGGATGGATGGATGGATGGATGGATGGATGGATGGATGGATGGATGGATGGATGGATGGATGGATGGATGGATGGATGGATGGATGGATGGATGGATGGATGGATAGATGGTGCCTAAATCCTTCTATTACGGTCTCATGTCTACATCCATTGACTTTCCATTACCTTCCATTCTTCCCTTCTACCGTCAACTCAACCCCTCCCTCGTCCTTACCCTCGTCCGTTCCTACCCTCGTCGCTACCCTCGCACCTTCCAGGAGCTTTCCAGATGCTCCCTCCACCAGCACAGTATGTCTTCGTGCGGATATTTCTTCGAAAAGGTAAGCCCTCCACCCGTGTCCCCTCCCTACCACCCTGCCAGGCCCCTAGTTCTTCCTCTCCTCTTCTCCTCCTCTCTTGTCAACAACCTTCAAGGCGCCTCTAAAGTCGACTTTTGAGGCGCCTCAAGAAGTCTGTCCCCACCACCCTGCCAGACCCCTAGTTCTTCCTCTTCTCCTCTCTTGTCAACAACCCTCCAGACTTCCTTCCTACGGGAGGTCCCCCCTGACACGCCTCCTGCTGCCAACACCACCTGTTGCAGTTAGGGTTCAACTTTTGAGTTTGACTTTGACTCAAAAGTCAACTTTCCACGGGAGTTCCGCCTGATGCACCTGCTGCTGCCACCACCTGTTGCAGCAAGGGTTCCGTCTAACTGCAACTGTCTACTTCTCTTTTACCCCCACTCTGCTTTTCCCCATTTTCTCCCCACTACCCTGTCAGGCCCCTGGTTCCTCCTCTCCTCTCTTACCAAGTACCTTTCAGACTCCTCAACGTTACTTTCTCCCTGCTCTTTCCCGTTCTCCACTCCAATCTCTCTTTCTCACCTCCCCACCACCCTCCCAGGCCCCTGGTTCCTCCTCTCCTCCCTTACCAAGTACCTTCCAGAGCTTCCACCTGTCACTTCAGCATCCACAGCAGCAGCAGCAGCAGCAGCAGCCAGAGGATCAGCCACAGCAGCAGCAGTGGAGGAGGAGAGAGCAGGGTCAGCAGCTGCTGCTCTTCACTCGGCTGTGCTCTCCCTTTGCGGTCTGTCACTCCTCCTCTTTCACTGCAGGATTCGAGCTCTCTCTTCGTGTCTGATGATTGATGTATATATGTTCGTTACCACTATGGACCCCACCCAACCCAACCTTTTGTGAAATATTTCGACTCGTCCCGCCCTCTTTCAAGTGCCCTCTTCCAAGCAACCCTTCTCTCTTAAGTATACACAGTCTAGTTTCGAGATGACTCAAAACTCATGCAAAATCTCACTATATTCTCTTCTTTTGTAACGCTCCCTGTATGTCTCAGCGGCGGAGTGGTGCGAGTCTGGGCTTGAACAGGACTGGCCACCCCCTCCGTCTGAGGAGCCAGAAGGACCGGCTGCAGCAGTGTCACCAGCACCAGCACCAGCACCAGCAGCAGCAGCAGCAGCAGCAACCGCAGCAGCGGCAGCAGCAGCGGCAGCAGCAGCGGAAGCGAGCAGGGTGACAGCACCAGCTGCTTCAGACACATTTTTAAGTGCACCTGGAAGCATGCTAACTCTCGAAGCAGCAGTGGCAGTGACTCACCGCCTGCTGCCCTTGCACCACCTGCGCTCCCTCGCTCTCTCCTTCAACCTCCAGGTCCGTGACTATACATGTTGTGACTGTGTACGGTGTGACTATGCATGTTGTGACTGTGTATGGTGTGACTGTGTATGGTGTGACTATGCATGTTGTGACTATGCATGTTGTGACTGTGTATGGTGTGACTGCGCTTGCAGGGGAAACTCATTATACAATCAAGCTCCTGTCGTCTTCCCTGTTTCCATGCGCAATGCACATGGCCCCGTCCCTCTAACCAGGAAAAGGCAGTCATCCGTACAAGCAGGAAGGAGGCCCCTGTCAGACTGCTAGTGCAAGCCCTCACTGGACATTTGTTTTTCTCCACTCCAAGTCACCTCCCTCTGTTTTTGTGCACTCAACCCGTCACCCTCACCAGGAAAAGGCAGTCATTCATTTAAGCGGAAAGGAGGCCCTGGTCAGACTACTAGTGCAAGCCCTCACCGGCAGCAGCGGATCTCTGGGACTGAGTCAACTCTGTTTCCATGCACACTACACAACCCGTCACCCTCACCAGGAAAAGGCTGTCATTCGTTCAAACAGGAAGGAGGCCCTTGTCAGACTGCTTGTGCAAGCCCTCACTGGAAGCAGTCGCAGCAGCCAATCACAGCTCTCCACGTCAGCCTCGCACAACGGCACCATGCTCAGGTGCAATCAAAACAACCACCCTCTTTATGCCCTCTTGCCAGGTGCCCTCATCTCCCACTCCTTTCCTCGTTCCTTCTGAGTCGACTCAAAAGTCATTCTGAGTCAACTCAAAAGTCATTCTGAGTCAACTCAAATTCATTCTGAGTCAACTCAAAAGTCATGTTGAGTCGACTCAAAAGTCACCCCGTTGTGCTCTCTTGCGAGGTGCCCTCATCTCCTGCTCCTTCTCCTCGTTTTTTTCCTTCCATCCTCTCCCTCTCCTCCACCTCCCTACTTCCTCTGCCTCACGCCTCTTTTACCCATCCCACGCACATTTCCATCGAACCCCCCCTCCTCCCCCCCCTCCTCTCCCCCTCCTTTCCCGCCTCCTCTCCCTCCCTTTCCCCCCCGCCAGGCACAAGCTCTCACATGCCATCCTCGCCCTCTCCAGTCCATGCCTCTGCATCTCCCCTCCCCTCTTGAGTCGACTCAAAAATGCCTCTGCATCTCCCCTCCCCTCGTCCGTGCTCTTCGCTCCTCCCATCCCCCAGCCCTCTAACCCCCATCTTTCTTCCCCGATCCCCTCTCCCCCCTCTCCCCTCCCAGGCACAAGCTCTCAAATGCCATCCTCGCCCTCTCTGGTCCCTGCCTCCGCATCTACCCTTCCTCATAGGCACACGCTCTCCCCACCTACTATCCCCCATCCCCTACCCCCCCATCCCCCGCACGCACCCTGCTGGCCCCCCTATCTCCACCCAGGCACAAGCTCTCACGCGCCATCCTCGCCCTCTCTGGCCCCTGCCTCCGCATCTCCCCTCGCATCACCCGCCTCCTTGCCCGAGTACAGGTAACCCTTCCTTTTCTACGTAGGAGCGTGACTTACACGCTTGTAACCAAGCCTAGATAGGTGGAGAGCAATGCTTTTGATGCACGCCCGACGCCCTCTCTCTCTGGTGGTTCATGCCTCCGCATCTCCCCTCGCATCACCCGCCTCCTTGCCCGTGTGGAGTGGTAACCCTCTCCACTCCACACATCATTCAACATCGTGTGGAGTGGTAACCCTCTCCACTCCACACATCATTCAACATCGTGTGGAGTGGTAACCCTCTCCACTCCACACATCATTCAACATCGTGTGGAGTGGTAACCCTCTCCACTCCACACATCATTCAACATCGTGTGGAGTGGTAACCCTCTCCACTCCACACATCATTCAACATCGTGTGGAGTGGTAACCCTCTCCACTCCACACATCATTCAACATCGTGTGGAGTGGTAACCCTCTCCACTCCACACATCATTCAACATCGTGTGGAGTGGTAACCCTCTCCACTCCACACATCATTCAACATCGTGTGGAGTGGTAACCCTCTCCACTCCACATAATTCCCCTACTATGCCTCAACATCAATCTGCCCCTGCCATCATGACGCTTCCTGTGCCATTTGCACTTCTGTCTCACCAAAAGCTCCTCTTTGCTTAGAGTCCGCGCCTAGAATGGTAGATATTCGCTCATGCTTCCCCCTCCCCTTCCCCCCCCCAGCGTTTCTCCTTCCTCAACTCCTCCCAATCCCTCACCACCGTTCTCTTGCAACCTAGCTCCCGTCCCATGCTGTACACCCCGTTCCTCTCAAACAATACACCCTTGGCTTCATCTCCACCCCTGTTTCCCCTTCCTCATCCCAGCGTCTCTTCTTCCTCAACTCCTCACAATCCCTCACCAACGTTTCTCTCTTGCACCTCATGCCCCGCCCCTTGCTGTCCACACTTTTCCTCTCAAACAAAACCCCCTTTGCTTCGTCTCAACCCCTGTTTCCCCTTCCCCATCCCAGCGTCTCTTCTTTCTCAACTCCTCCCAATCCCTCACCACCTTTCTGCTCGTCGATCTCGGCTTGCGTCGCTACCCCTCCTACCGCTGTGACCGATCTGCACCGATCTTCACCTCTCGGGAGGAGCTTTTAGCGTACGAGCAGGTTAGTGCTCTCCATTTGAAGGTCATCAATCGAAGGCAAGGCAGTAAGGATCACCAGCTTTCAGCAAGGTGTTCGTCTACACTCTGCCAACTTGGGAAAGGGGTCAAAGTTTGAACGAAGCTTCTAGTCTAGGAGGAGCAGAGTAGACTAATGCACGAAGAGCTACGTTTGTGAGCGGGTTTTTTCTGCTTTTAGTCAACAGCTCAAGCTTATGGGAGGTGTGAAAATAAATAGCGTTAAGCCAACCACATGTCATGATCGTATAAGCGATAGCACTCCACAAGCGGTGCCTCTCTTTGTTGCCTTTCACCTCACTCTGTGTCTGTGTGCTTGCTTGCTGCTCGCCGCTGCTGCTCGTTGTGTTCGTAACGATAACATCTGAAGAAGAAAGGGTTCTGAGACATTTCAGAACTTGCGTCGCTTCGTCTTCTTGTTTCTGCTTCTCTCTGCATTCGTGCGCGCATGCAGGCGTGTGAAGTGTTGGAAACGGTGGAGAGGATTGTTGGGGTGAATTCATCGGTGGAGGGAGACAGGCAGGGGCGAGCGGCAGGAGGAGCAGGGCCGAACGGAGTGGGAGGGAAGGCAGGAGGTGGGAGAGGGAGCGGAAGTGGGAGCGGCAGCGGAGGTGGGAGAGGGAGTGGAAGTGGGGGTGGAAGTGGTGGGAGTGAGAAGCGGAAAGCGGCACAAAATGTGGGAGAAGGGAGGATGGAAAGGGGAGGGGAGAGGAGTGGAGGTGGTAAGAAGACGAGGCTTTCTGAGGATTGTGCAGATAAGGTCGGGGAAAATGGTGGTGAGGAGGGCGAGGAGGCGGAGGAGGGGGGGCAGAGGGTGACAGGAGAGAAGAAGGGAGACGAGGATGGGTTAACAGAGGGGGAGGATCCGCAGCAGGAGAGGAGGGAGGAGGAAGAGGAAGAGGAAGAGGAGGAGGAAGAAGAGGAGGAGGATGTGGAAGAGTTGGTGCTAATGGCAGCACTGGCAGGAGCGAGGCAGCAGCTTCAGCAAAGGGAAGGTTCACCTGAGGGAGGTTTATCTGAGGAGGATATAAGGCCGTGGAATCAAGTTTTCTTATTCGACGATGAGGCACGGGTCTTGAAGCACGGATCTTGGAAAGATCGGTTCACAGCGGGGCGCGTGTATGCGGAGGTGCTGTGGCGAGGCGTGGGGTGGTTTGAGAAGCAGAAGAGGTAAGCCTTCATTCAGCAGCTGTCATGGTCCTTGGAGTTATGAGGTGCTTCAAAAGGGATCGGCTCGCAGAGCGCTTCACCCCACTCCACCCCACGCCACTCCGCTCCACCCCCTCCCCCACTGCAGGTACAACCAGGCAGTATCAGACCTGAGGCTGCTCGCTGCTTCTCCCTCCTACCCCAGGGCCCGCCTAGGCGCCCTCTTCCTGCGCCTCTCCACTGACCTGGTCCACGTGGGGGAGCTGAAGGAGAGCCTGGAGGCCGCCAGGACGGGAGTGGCGGAGTGCGACAGGGACGTAAACATGCCGCCAGGGGATGTGCTGGCGCTGCAGCGCCGGGTGATATGGCTGGCGAAGCCGCCCGTTACCTGGAAGCGGCCGAGCTATGTGTGGACATTGGAGTGGCGATGCAAGGAGGTGCGTTATCAGTGTGCTATCAATTTGTACGGTTACGAGTGTGCTCTCAGGCGGGTCGTGTGGCTGGCTGGCGAAGCCGCCCGTCACCTGGAAGCAGCCGAGCTATGTGTGGTCATCGAATTGGCGATGCAAGGAGGTGAATGAAACTTTAGAGGCCTTTTGAGGTTATGCACGGTCGGTGGCCAGGCAATGCGAAGGGTGAGTCAGGCATGAGTGAGTGAAGTGGATTCTTGATGTGAACTTTTCCACATTTCTCCCAAATGGTCCGTTGTATTAATAAGCACTATGCATACAAGCATGCAAGGTTGATGGTGAGGCAGTCATCCTACTCGCCACCCGCCTGGTCCACAAGGGGTCCAAGCGGGGGTTCTAGGAGTTGAAACAGGTAACCTTCAGCTAGGGGTTCGATGGCATCCGCAATCCCAGCCTCGTCCGCCTCCATGGCCGTGTGAGTTTTCAGATTGAGGGCGTGCGCCTGCCCGCGCTGCAGAGTGATACTCCAGCGCTGCCTGTACTCGTGGAACAGCTTGGCTGCTTCCGCTGAGGTAGGGGGGGCGTTGAAACGCAGCTTGGCAGCCAGGTCGGCGCACATCTTCAGAAACTCGAACACCCCCGGTGAGGTACAGCCGTAGGTCTCGACCGCCATGGGAATGAACCCCACCCAGTCATTCCGTATTGCATACTTGTCCGTCTTCTCTCCCTCTCTCCCTCTTTGGTTCTCCAGCCGCCTCGTTTGTCTATCCAGCCTCCTCACCTCGTCTCACTCACCTTATCTCGCCCTTCCCCTCTCTCACCTGTGTTCCCTCCCTACCTCCATACCTCCACACGTCGCAACACCATACAGATAAAAATCGTGGGGCGGCCACTGAACAGGGAGGTGGGCGCGCGAAGCCGCTTCTACAGCATGGCTCCCGTTACAGTCACACGCCCACCCGCTACAGCCACACCCGGACCTCCCCAGAACTCTGAAAATCCCCACACGGGAGAAGATGCAAGAGGCGGCGACTGCGAGGAGGCAGCACCTGTTCCGTGGTGGGACGGGCAGTGCAGCGTAGAGGAGCTGGCATTGCAGCATTACGCCAGTGAGGAGGGCGGCGGGTGGAAGGGAGTGCACTGCGAGGGCTCCCTGTGGTCGACCCTGTTCAAGATGCTTTTCTGGGATGTCATCTTCGCGCCTGTTCCCGACGTCTTTCACCATCCATTCCAGGTCCGTACCCACTCCCACGATATAGGCCTCCCTGAGTTGTGCAAATCATGCTCCTTGGTGCCTGTGAGGAGGCATCGCCCAGGGAATTGTGGGACCAGCAGTGGTACGCAGAGTGGAGTAGCAGCAGCAACAGATGGTGGGACGGGCATCTTTTGAGGATGAGGCGCCTCAAAAGGATGAGGCGCCTCAAAAGGATGAGGCGCCTCAAAAGGATGAGGCGCCTCAAAAGCATGAGGCGCCTCAAAAGGATGAGGCGCCTCAAAAGCATGAGGCGCCTCAAAAGCATGAGGCGCCTCAAAAGCAGCAACAGATGGTGGGACGGGCATTGCAGCGTAGAGGAGCTGGCGCTGCAGCATTGCACCAGCGAGGAGGGAGGCGGGTGGAAGGGAGTGCACTGCGAGGGCTCTCTGTGGTCGACCCTGTTCACGCTTCTCTTCTGGGATGTCATCTTCGCGCCTGTCCCTGACGTCTTCCATCATCCCTTTCAGGTATGTGCATGCTTTTAGCTGCCCAGATTGAGAGTAGAATGTGCGTGTCGAGAAAGGCCATGCTCTGCGAGAGTGCTTTCCACCCCTTCCTTTCACCCCAACTCCCTCCCCCTGACCTTCGCCCTCTTCCCAGACTGCCCCTCTGGACTTTGGTTCCGCACAGTTTGCGTCCAACCGGGCCGCTCTCATTGAAGCTCGCCTGGTAGAGTTGATAGGGGGGAAATGCAGAGGCGAGTGCATGCAAGTTGGAGGAATGGGAGGAGAGGGAGGAATGGGAGGAATGGGAGGAGAGGTAGGAGTGGGAGTGGGAGGAGTGGGAGGAGTGGGGAGCACATTTGGTGCTCCGGGTATGGTCGGCACTCCTGTGGGCGGCACATTTGGTGCTTTTCCTACAGGCGGCGTTTCTACGGGTGGCACATTCGGTGCTTTACCTATGGGCGGCACTCCTGTGGGCGGCACTCCTATGGCCAGTACTCCTGTGGGCGGCACGCCTGTGGGCGGCACTCCTGTGGGCGGCACACTGGATTCTTGTCCCATGGTCGAAGCTTCTGGTGCATGTGCGCTGGGCGGCACACTGGCGACTGTGAAGCTTCTGAGGGAGCGGTGGCAGGAGCACCACGGCACCATGTGTGTGGGCCTGGAGCCTTTGAGTGAGGAGGGAGCCGCTGGAAACAGTGGGAGGGATGGCGGTTGGGGTGGAGCCCATGGCGTGGGTGCTTCTGCTGTTGCTGCTGCTGCTGCTGCGGCGGCGGCGGCTACTGATTTTGCAACGGCTGGCACTGCTACTGCCTCTGCTGCTGCAGCTGCTGCTGGTTCTGCTGCCCCTTTTGTTGATGCAAATACTGTGCCAAGCGCACCTGGTGTCAGCAGCAGCAGCAGCAGCAACAACCACCGTTCCTTTGGCCTCTCAGAGCTCACAGAAATTGTCCTATGTGCCGGCTGCGTTACTGTAGTCGCAATCTGCGAGCGGCTGGCGGAAGGCTACAGTGCTTGGAGGGGCGGCATGCCGGACCTGGTGCTCTGGAGGAGACGCCCGGCCGAACCTCAGCTTCGGGCCGCAGTGCAGGCTCGGAGGGACATTCAGGAGTTGAATGAGGTGCGAAGGAGTCAATTGCCCACGTGGTTGGGAGAAAATGTGCCAAGAGCTCTTCCTTCAGGGTTTTTCAAAGGGACGGGAGGGAATTGGAAAGGGGGTTTGGGTGGGGGGATAAGAGGAAATTACTGGGGGGAGGTAAAGCTGGTGGAGGTGAAAGGGCCGAGGGATGAGCTGTCTTGCCAGCAGACTGAATGGCTGAGGGCACTGCAGAGCGATGGGGTGGATCACGAGGTGTGCAGAGTGGTGGAGAGGGAGGAGCAGAAGGTGCAGAAGCCGAGGAGGAAGAGATGAGCTTTCGCCTACTGTACTGAAATTAGAGCTGGGTTGACTTTTGAGTCGACTTGAATATTAAGAGGGGATTCGTGGGGGGAGGTAAAGCTGGTGGAGGTGAAAGGGCCGAGGGATGAGCTGTCTTGCCAGCAGACTGAATGGCTGAGGGCGCTGCAGAGCGATGGGGTGGATCACGAGGTGTGCAGAGTGGTGGAGAGGGAGGAGCAGGTGCAGAAGCCGAGGAGGAAGAGATGAGATTTTGGCTCCTGAGAACATTACTGACAAGGATGTGAGTTGAATTGAAAGTACGGTGTATGGTGTTGAACAAGGACAGGTCATGGGCATGGTGGTGCTGCATGGTGTTTGGATGAGGGTCTTTTTGGCGGGAGTTTGTCTAGTGACTATTCGCGTGAATATTTGCCTCGCCAAGCCAGTGTTTAGTGACCAGACGCGATAAACATATTGCCGTGAAAATTTTTGCTTTCCAAGAAACCTATAATTGAAGGATTGCTGCCACAAGAACAGAAGTTTCAATCACAATCGTCATTCATTTAATCGCCTGGAAAAACGACACTGTTACAAATGGACAGACAAAAGAGATCAGTGAAGTGAACATCACTATCAGTCACGTTGAGTATCTTTCTTCCCCTGTCCCAGTCGGCTCCATAACGAGCCCCCAGAAGACTTCTCTCCCTTCTCTCCTTTCTCTCCTTTCCCCCCCCTGTCAACCCTCTCACCTTTCTCTCCCCCATTGCCACCATAAACCGCCTCCAACCCACCCGCACCTCCAGAGTAATACCCTGTGTCGGGCGCACCTGAACCAGATGCACCTGCACCAGATGCACCTGACCCAGATGCAGTGGCTTCTCCAGGTGGGGCGTTTCTGGGCCCTGAGTCCAGAACCCTGGGCATGGATAGGTAGTCGTCAGCTAGTCGTTGTGCTGGGTGCGCTAATAACGAGGATGTTGCTCGAAAGATGTACCTAGCTGAGTTGCTGCTGTTCTCCCAGATGTAAGGCTCGGGCACGGAAACTGCTTCTAGGGCAGCGGTCAGCCCGTCAAAAACTTCCTGCGGGCGGTTGAAATTGTTGGGCCGGTCATGCCAGTAGATACAGTCAGCAGTGAAGGGGATGGTGGGGCGAGGGGCGCGGTTGGGAGGTGGACCGGGGATGCACGAGGAACGGCAGTAGAAGAGTATCTGGAAGGGTGGGAGGAAGGAGGGGGGGTTGGGAGGGTAGGGGGGAATATGAATTTGGACAGGCCCTGCCAATACAGTAGCAAAACGGGATGGCAGGGCGAGGGTGAGGTGGGGAGACGGACCGGGGATGCAAGAGGAACGTCAGAAGAAGGAATTTGGAGGGTGGGGAGGAAAGGAAAGGAAAACGACGGAAACGAGGATTTCCATAAGAAGGTAACGGTAAGTGTAATTCCTTATTAACGTCCAATCTCACCAGGCGCAATGAACGGCCTCGATCGACCGAGCGCTGCGACTCTGACGCGAGGGCGCGGAAGAGCGGGGAGAGGTCAACGGAGGAGAATGCTGACGTGGCGTGCAGTGATTGGACGCCAGCAAGGAGAGAGTTCATGTCATTGGTGAAATGCTCGACCACCTGATGGGAGGGCGGAAAAGCAAGACCAGAGGGGAATGGGTGCAGAGGGAGAGAAAGGGGTGGTGAGCGGTGTTAGCAGGATGAAGGGGGGACTGGTGAGAGAGTTCATGTCACTGGTAAAATGCTCGACCACCTGATGGGAGTCCGAAAAGACAGGGGGGAATGGGTGTGGAGGGAGAGAAAGGGGTGGTGAGCTGTAATAGCGGGATAAAGGGGGACTGGTGAGACAGTTCACGTCACTGGTGAAATGCTCGACCACCTGATGTACGAATCATTCCAAGAGGGGGGAGGAGTGGGTGAGGGGGAAGGGGAGGAGGACAGGTAGAAAAGTTGTGGCAGGCAGAGAGATGAAGTAGGGGAGTGCAGAGAGAGGAGAGCGGAGAGGGGAGAGAGTTCATGTCATTGGTGAAATGCTCGACCACTTGATGGGAGGTCGGAAAGGCAAGACCAGAGGGAATGGGGCTCAGGAGACCTGTGGTTGCCTTGGTAATGAAGCAGGGGAGGTGGAGTCCAGGGGAGGCAGGCCCTGTGTGTGTGGTGGGCGACGCAAACCAGCAAAACCCGTTTGTACAGCAAGTGCGTACCCAGGAGAACTGTGGTTGCCGCGGGGACGAGGCAGAGGAGGCGGAGTGAGGGGAGGCAGGCCCCTGTGTGGTGGGCGGTGCCGGTGCTCCTGCTGCTGTGTTGCCCTTGAGTGCGGCCAGGGCGAACCTGTTGGGTCAAAAGCAGGAAGATAAAGAGATACGGAGGAGTGCAAGTGTGCTTTTTAGGGGTTGATTTGTTATGTTCCCCTCCCTCCCCTCCCCTTCTGAATTCTTAGAGCTTTTTAGGACTTTCTAAAGCTTCCCCTGAGTGCAGTTTCGGAACAGCACCTGTGCGAGGGGTTCATGGCGAGTTTCGAGTGCGTGAACAGCAGCAAAGCCTGCCGTATGGCGTCTAGTCTAGTCAGCGATGCTGCAGGTCCCGCTGCTGCTGTTGCTCCTGCTGCTGCTGCTCCTGCTCCTCCTGCTGCTGCTCCTCCTCCTGCTGTTTCTGTTGCTTGTTGAGCGATTGATCCCACTCCTGCTGCCTCTCCTCCCACCCCTTCGCCGGCTGTGGCGGCTGTAGCGGCGGCTGCACCAGTGGATGGCTTTAAATCGCGCGCCGCCTCTATGTCGGTGTCTATGCAGAATACTATGTCCTCCGGTACTGCCGTCGCTAGTCTGCGTGCGTCGAACATGGCTGGTTGTGAAGCTGGTTGTAACCCTGGTTGTAACGCTGGTTGTAACGCTGGATGTAACCCTGGTTGTAACACTCCCGGATGCGACATGCGTGGGTGCAACGCGGAGATTTTGACGAGCTGCCTGTGTAACGCGTATGATCCTGGACTAATAACGAGGTCGGAGCCTCCGCAAGGGCACTAGAGGAGCCAACGACAACAGGAGATGTGAGAAGGGGACACACTAAGTTGTGCGGTGAAAAATACGCTAATAACACTGATGCAAATTATACAGGTGAAACATTTAATCTGCTCGGGCCAAAAAACGCAAGCTACGGCATATTCTCAGCTTCTTGCGACAACGCGCTTTCCTTGTCGGCGGGGGATGCGGATGACGAGCTTTCAGTCATGCAATAGCTTGCGACGATGTCAGTCCCAGACCGCGACTCCTAAATCGAGTGCTTGAGGTGGAAGCTGTATTCCGACTCGCTGTCAGCCATCTCGTTATCACGATAAATGAATACTTCGTGACAGAAATACAGCGACCGAGTATTGTTTACACGCCTTTCCCTGCTGGCTCATAGCTCCAACGGGATATCCTGTACCGCGATATTGAGTAAACAGCCCAGTCAGATCTGACCAATCCGAGCAGTTTCCCCTCGCAGATCACTAACGATACTAGAGGTCGATTTGGCAACTTCAGGAGCGTGTGTAAAGACAGCATGGCGCGGATCCACGTCACGTAAATTTCCTTGACTCCCTGTCACTGGTTGGGAACACCATCTTTTCGCCACCTATTCCGTCAATCTCTCTTGAGATCATCCTGTCACGTCAGCATCACATTGGGATCAACAGCAAAACCCAGCAGCCAATGAGCACAAAGTAAAGCCTCCACATTTTCAAACGCCTAAGGGCGTGGCCCTGGGTGGTGGCAGGGCCACTGTAGCATGCACTGTTGGTGGCATGCGGGACAACCGCATGCCACCAACATTTTGCCCGAGGCGCGCGCGACACGAATTTGGTAGCAATTTTGGGACATTGCCCAATCACGCACCTCTATTTGCGCCACAATTTCCTGACACCAACCTGACGTTTTATGAGTTCGTGGCAGGCTGCCATCTACAGTGGCCCTGCCACCACACAGGGCCACGCCCTAAGGTCAGGTCACGCAAGGCCCGTTCTCTGACTGCTTTCAGCATCCAGGAAACTCTGATCTCAGGTGGCGGAGGTGTGCAGAAGTCCAAGAACCGACTAAATTACACTTGACCCGCAACAAGGTTACATCGAAGAGCACGATGCGAGATCTTTGCCGTTTTCTGATTACGCCCTCACTAACCCCCCATCAAACCTCCAGACGCAAATTCATGGCTTCCTGACGGACAACCTCAAGGATCTGTAAAATTGGCAACCGTCTCAGATCCCAGACTGGACCCACCATTTCACCACTTACTGCCTGTTTCCTTGCTGCTACTCCGCCTGGTCCTCTAGTTCTTTCCGGTGCTGATTTTTTTAAGGCTTCGCAGCCCCATCTGCAGCTTACCCTGCATCACCATCATCCTAGCACCTCTTGGACCTAGCATCTTCGAAACATGGCAGCCACTCTCGCAGACGTGACGATGCAGGCAGCGGCCTTCGCATCCGTGCCGGCTCGCACGGTGGCGGCTTCCGCCACCGCCAGGCCTCTGGTTTCCAGCTTCGCGGGGATGTCGCTCGCGGCCAAGGCGTCGCACAAGGCCGTCGCACGTCGCCCACACTCCGCGACGATTCGTTGCGACGGCGATGGAGCGGCTGCGACTGCGACAGAGGCTGAGGCGATCCCCATTGAGAAATGTGAGTCTCAGGTCCTCCGTCATCCCGACCCCGCACAAGTCCTCTGTTATTCCTTTTCCCCTACTTCCCCGCCGTCCCTCCTCTGCTCGACTTTGTTCCCCTGCCGCGCATTTTCATGCATGCTACTATCCCTATCCGCACACATATTTGCCTCTCATTTCCAGATTCCGTCTCTCACACACCTCGTTTTTACTTTTGAGTCGACTCAAAAGTCAATTCGCACTAACTCGCTCTGCCTCTTACCCTTCCCTGCTTTCCTCTTCTCGTTGCACGTGCCACCATTCTGCAGCCTTCGTCAACGCCCCGGCCGTGTTGGATATCAACAAGATCAAGGAGCTTCTGCCGCACAGGTGAGGATTAAAACGCACCGGTGCTGTCGCACAGACGGTGTCGCATACGCGTTGTCGCACAGCTGCTGCCGCACAGGTGCTGTCGCAAAGGTGGTGTCGCTCAGTGTCACTTGTTACCATCCTGCAGCCTTTACCAACGCACGTGCCGTGATGGGCATGAATAAGATCGAGGAGCCTCTGCCGCACAGTTGAGGCTCAACACGCACAGGTGCTGTCGCACAGATGCTGTCGCACAAGAAAGGCTCAAAACGTGCAAATAGTGCCGGCCAGGTGGTGCCGGCCAGGTGGTGCCGGCCAGGCAAGCGCTCCCTGTGCTTGTCGTCACAGACATAAACCAACAGTTACTTGTCTTTATAAGGCTTCCACAGCCCGGTTTCAGATTCCCTCTCTCGTTATGACTGTGGGGAGTTCTATAAGCCCCGACGTCACGCGTTTTTTGAGAGTTGAAATGAATTTGAACTGTTCATTCTTCCCGTCCCATTCTTTCGTCCAGATACCCCTTCCTGCTGGTGGACCGAGTGATCGAGTATCAACCGGGCGTGACGGCGGTGGGCATCAAGAACGTCACCTGAGGCAGCTCACCTTAAAACTCGTTTCTGTCTCACCATTCCCCACCGCCCAGATACCCCTTCCTGCTGGTTGATCGCGTGATCGAGTATCAGCCGGGAGTGACGGCGGCGGGCATCAAGAACGCCACCGTCAACGACAACCTCTATCGAGTCGAGTCCAGAGTCACTTGACACGTGTGATTTGTGCTTTCCTTCTCACCATTCTCACCCGTCTTAACCTTCCAGATACCCCTTCCTGCTGGTGGACCGAGTGATCGAGTACCAGCCGGGAGTGACGGCGGTGGGCATCAAGAACGTCACCGTCAACGACAACTTCTTCCCCGGCCACTTCCCCGAGCGCCCCATCATGCCGGGGGTGCTCATGGTCGAGGTACGCTCGTTCGGCTTGCACCCACTCCCTCTATCAGAATCCCCACTCTGTTGTCCCTCTGTTTCTTTCAACTTCTTCCCCGGTCATTTCCCCGAGTGCCCCATCATGCCGGGCGTGCTCATGGTCGAGGTACGCGTTCTCTCTCTTACCTTGTCATTCCCGCACTCCACCCTTTCATTCACCCGCCCTCGTGTCATTGCCCTCCCCCGTGCTGTCCTTCTGTGTGACTATCCGTGGCTGTGCAGGCCATGGCGCAACTAGGAGGCATCGTGATGCTCACTGACGACTTCGGCGGCAAGAGAGACGCCTTGCTTTTTGTGAGGCGCCTCAATCAAAGACTTCCTTCTTCCGTATTGTTCTCCTGACCCCCGGCTGTGCAGGCCATGGCTCAGCTAGGAGGCATCGTGATGCTCACTGACGACTTCGGTGGCAAGAGAGACGCATTCTTCTTCGCTGGCGTCGACGGGGTGAGTCCGGGGTGGTTTCAAGGGCGGTTCGGTATGGTTCAGGGCGGTTCAGGGTGGTTCAGAGTGGTTCATGGAGTCAGAGTTAGGATTGCGTGGACAATCGGTATTCCATAAAGAGAGAATTAAGGGTCACACAGAGAGAATCAGTAGCACATGAATATCACGTGGAGGCAATATCTATACCCCTCTCCCCTCCTTTCCACTCCTCAGCTCTCCTCTCCTCAATTCACCTCTCCTCCCCTCTTCCCTCTCCTCTCCGCTCCTGCCCTCTCCCCTCCCCTCCCCTCCTCCCCTCTCCCCTCGCCTCCTCCCCTCCCCTCACCTCCTCCGTCCTCCACTCCCTCCTGTTCCCTCCAGTTTCTCTTCTCTCCCCTCTCCTCTCCCCTCCACTACTCCCTCTCCTGTTCCACTCTGTTTCTCCTCTCCCACCCCCTCCACAGGTCCGTTGGCGCAAGCCATTGCCCCCCGGTGACACACTGGTCATGTGCATGACCCTCACCAGGTACCAGAAGCGGTTCGACTGACACAGCACATTTTCCCACTCTTAGTTACCCTGCAGGTCCGTTGGCACAAGCCCGTCACCCCCGGTGACACCCTCGTCATGCGCATGACACTCACCAAGTACCAGAAGCAGAGAGGAAGCTTTATTCCCCCTGTTTCCCACATCTTTCGTTACCTTCCGCAGGTCCGTTGGCGCAAGCCGGTGGTTCCCGGTGACACCCTGGTCATGCGCATGACCCTCACCAAGTACCAGAAGCGGTTCGGAATCGCCAAGCTGGCGGGCAAGGCGTACGTGGGTGGTGACCTGGTGTGCGAGGGCGAGTTCATGCTCGCCCTCGGCAGCTAAAGCAAGTTTTTAATGTTACACACAGTGGATAAGGATCTAGGGTTGCAATAACCCTAGAATTAAGTACCTAGGGTGCTCTCCAACCTTATGCTACCGTTAAGGGAGAATGCACACATACTGTACTGCTTTTTGTCACCATCAGGGCCCGTGCTAGGATTTGGGGCACCCTGAGGCCTCAGGCCACCTTTCCAGAATCGTACAAAATGCCCTGATTTGTCAGGGCAGATTTTCGGAGCCTTCCTGTATGTTCAGGGCTTTTTCAGAAATCAATCCTGACCTCTCAGATTGGTAGGTTGTCAGAGCTAAGTTGAAGTATACAAGCGCCTGTACGGGGGTGGGTTGGATCCCAGGGCCTCATCCATCGGAAGTACCTATCTACTGACCAGGCCACTTCTGGATGTATGGGTGGTTGAATGAGTGTTTACCGACACATTAGCCACGGGACCCCCCCCCTAACAAAAAACGCGTCAGGGCAGGCCTCGGCATTCATCCTGACGCTTCAGAGAAGAACACTACAGCCATTCTGAATGTTCAGGGCATTTCATATAAAAACATCCTGAGACCTCAGGGTTAAATTTTACACATTGAGAAAGCTTGCTTTCTGTTCTTGCAAAGGCAACTGGCTTCATTACAATTGGGGCAACTGGCTTCATTACTATTGCAGTAATACAACATTCTCGTCCAACTATGGATCATACAAATATTGGTACAACTAGGGCGGGTGGGTGGGGAGTGAAACTGCAAAGTTCTGAAATTAAGTCGTGGGTGGAGGCCGAATGGCCTCCAACTCTCGTTATGTACTCGGCGAATTGTAATTCGCCGTTGCTTTGCTTCGTTACAGGCAGCTGCGCTTTCACAATACACATTTTTAGAAAGTGTTACACACTTTCGAAAAATTATAATTTTTAAACACACATGTAGTGTTTTTTAAAATTGTGTATTGTGAAAGCGAAGCTGCTTGTACTGCACAATTGGCATCGTCGAAGCGCGCTAAACGCCCTTCTCCAACTACAAAAACCGTGGGTTGGAGCTCATTTCCCTCCACCCACGTTTCTCAATTTTCAAACGGCTCATTCAACATGTAATGAGAACGATGCCAATTGATAAGAAAGAAAGCAAGCTTTCTCAATAATTCATATTGAGAAAGCTTGCTTTCTGTTCTTGCAAAGGCAACTGGCTTCATTACAATTGGGTCTTCTCAGACATGTGCAGCTGGAGCGTTGAAAACGTGGTGAGTGTAGTTGCGGTTGATGACATTGACCAGGGCCTATGTTTGGTTTTTGGCTACTCACGATTAGCAGTGTAGCATTTTTGAAAACCCTTAGGATCAGTGTGTAATTTTTCGTTACACTGATACATAAGTGTAACATTGATTTTCAAAAAAATTACCCCAGAGCATCAGTGTAGAATTTTTGTGTACACTTATCGCAAATGTAGATTACTAATCGTTATAAAAATCGGGAAACAATATTCTACTTATACAGCAGACAATCACATGAATGAACGCTCATCCTCGCTACCATCAGACGACTCCTCTCTTGCCTTTCCTTTTCCATAGCACGACTTGTGAGGGGCAGGTGTTTTTGCGGGTCTTCTTTTTGCTTCCGCCAGATATCCACCACCTCTGGCCATTTGTACTCATAGCTCAACATGATCAGGGTCATCAGTTCGGATAGCCGGGCGTCACCAAGCGACGTTCGCAACCAGCTTTTGATAACGTTTTGGCGGCTGAATCCGCGCTCGCACTCCACGGTACTTAGCGGAATTACTGCCAGCGCCTGCCACATGGACGTCAGGTTGGGAAAACTGCGCGGCCAATCCTTGGTCCTCAGCATTTTGTTAAGTCCCTGGTAGAAGTCATCGTCCTGGTAGTGGCGAGACATGACGTGGCAGAAGCTGGCCAGCTCGAGCTCTGCCGCTCGGTGGTTGAAGCCTGCCACGTGTGTTGGAGGGACATTATTTTGTGAGGTGAAAGGTCGAAACAAAACAAAACAAAACAAAACAAAAAACGTGTGGATAATTACCTGGCAGCCGGTTGTTGAAGAGCCGCGCGTTGGCATCCAGCCAACTCAGCACCCGACGATCACGCTTGTCTGTCGCTTCTGGCCACGTTTCAACTTTGTAAAGCTTGCTGCCATCCATTTGCTTCAAGCTCCACATTCGAGTGTGCATGTTTGTCGCCACCTCCAATGCGAACGGTTTGCACAACTTGATGCAGTCGGCCATCGAGCCGCCGTATTGGTGTCCTGCTATTGGTGCCTCGCTCAGCAAGATCTGATGTGAAGATGGCTCACCATCCGCATCCGTGCCGTCCACGCGGATAGTTCGCCTGCCGCTGCAAAGGCGTGCGATGAATGGCGACAGCAGCTTGCTGACCCCCCCTCCGAAAATGTCCACGTATTCCACGTATCGAAGTCTGATGACTCCAATCGTGCGATCCACCTCTTGGTGCACGAGCGTGATGTCAACCTGAACCAGAGACGGGCACATGAACAGCATGTAAAAATGTTAGTGCATAATTAAATGACACGACTAGAAGAAAAACATGCACAGTGAATCAACACTTACTTTTTTGCGCTGGAAAAATTTGTTGAGTGCGTTTATCTCTGCCAGCAGATCCGCCAAGAAGTAGACGCAGAAGTGAAACTTGAGGGTCTGCACAGTTACCGCCATGCTGAGGTTGTACTCGATGAACACCACGATCGCCGCCCCTAGAATTCTGCATAGACGGGCCACTGCATCCCCGCGCGATAGCCAACGCACGTCGAATAGCCCCTGGTGCTCCAAATTCGTTTGATGTATTTCGAGCTGGAGCTCCTTGAAGCGCTCAAGCCACACCGAAGACCGCATGACGACTTCGCCAAGCCCACGGATGGCGTCATCGACGATGTCAAGGTCCGGAAACTTGCTCGCGGCTTCTTTAACCGCGAGCACTTCTCTGCATACAACATTAGAAAAATTTAAGGCCGTGGAAGTTACTCATTTATACGAGGCGATTGTCCGGAAACAACAAACCTATCTGTGCGCTATGCAATGAGTTCCGACCAGATGTGGGACGCGCTGACGGAGACGAACAACAAGCCCGGATTGGCTGCCAATCATCACCCCCGCGCCGTCGGTGCTAACTGCGACAATCCGCTGCAGATCAATCCCGATGTTGCCGAGGTGGCTCAGCAAAACCGCGAAGAGGGAACCCGCGTCGCATTTGTGTATGGTGAGTAGAGCGAGAAATTCCGTCACCACTGCTCGCTCCTTCATGAAGGTTGCAAACACGACGAGGTGTTTGCCGCGCGACCGGTCTGTGCTCTCGTCGCAGCTGATGCCGATCCACGGTGATGCATGGATGTACATAAGCTGTTGCTGTTGCTGATACGTGCACATAGCCTTCACCATCTCCGTGAAGCCGTATCTGCATGGTGCGCAAAAGGGATGGTGTTAATCATTCCGGAAGCTATACACCAATACGGCAACAAATTATTAAATTCCACTCATTGCGTGATATATACACCGTAGGTCTGCTGAGGAATGTCTGAAACACCTTCATTCGCGAGGAAGTCGACGAGCCTCGGGAACATTGCGATCGGAGCGTCCTCGTCGCACACAAACTGGATGCTGCGCATAAGTCTCGTCACTCGCGCACCCTCGGGGTCAGCCCTCTCGTAGTCGTTGATTTTCTTCTGCGCCGCCATCTTGTCCAGAAGACCCTTCTGGCGATCAATGCAGTCGTGATGGCGGGAGCTCGCTTGGTGTGCCCGCATCGACGCTGGCTGCAGGTCCCGTCCGCCGCTGCCATTCCGCCCGTATCGTGCATTGTCGGGACCGTGTTCGCTGCACACACTGCACCGCAAACAAGGCAGACCATCATCACCCTTGTCAAGCAACAACCAATCAAATTGCGGCAGCCATTTGGTGATGTAATTCCTCTGTGCTTCGAGGAACTTTGCTTCCGCGCGTTCGGCCGGAGTCTGCTTCAGCGGTGACGGAGATGGCGTCACAACAGGAGGTGGCGGAGGAGCAGGTTTCACGAGAGGCGAGCCGGCGCCGTAACCAAGAGTAGACTGCGTGTACCGGCGTTTTTTCAGCGACACGGAGTTAGAAGACTCCGGGACTTCAGATATCATTTCCGTCGAGGCGATGAAGTCGTGCACGACGGGTTCCGCCTCATCGCGTTCCGGACGCTGCCATCCACCGTCCTCACCCTCAGCTTGAGGCTGGTACGGTGGTGATATTTGGGCCGCTTTGCGCACAAGGTACATCCATCCCTCACTTTCATCAGAACGCTCGGGCAAAGGACGAGGTGCAGGTTCTGAGACTGGGCCTCGTAAGAAATCAAGGCCCGTTCTTGGACCGTGGCTACAATGGGGGTCGCCATCGGCATCGTCAGCGTCATCGTCGCTCGGCGCTGCCATGGCAACGGGGTGGAGAACGGATGCTAGACAGAGTGGCAAAAAAAAAACCGTGGTTTGTGGAGTCGGCTGGAGGAATGGCCGAGTGTTGCGAAACTGCTTGACCCACTCTGCTGAGCTTGCTGAACCAACACGGCACAGCAGTAGGTCGCTTCGTTGGGTGACGCGGCTTGCATCTGTGCCACCGACAGTATGAATGTGGTCAGGGATTTGACTAAGTGCAGGCAACATCTCGAAACATAACAGACTGACCAATTACACAGATGACTGCTGCCAACGCATATTCTGCGGGGAAGGCCGCTTCGGTACTTGCGTGATTGACGGAAATCACGCTCGTGCAAAATTTCGAGAATGAAAGGGGGGGGGGGGTGCCCTGTACGCCCTTAAGGGTAATCTTCGTTTTCAAAAAATTTACCCCAGACCATCAGTGTGGCCTAAATCGTTTCACTGTCAAATCAGTGTAACACTAAGTTTCAAAAAAATTACCCAAACACATCAGTGTAGGCCCTAAAATTCACCCTTCTCATCAGTATAGCAGTGTGATTTACACTGATAAAATAGGCCCTGGACATTGACGAAATGCCGGGAGGGGCG